ACACCTGATCCTGAAATTCGATTGGTCGTTATTACAAGGGGTGGAAAAAATTTTGTGGGACAGCTACCTAAAATTTACTCGCGCAAATAAATAAACTGATTATTGGTGCAATTCAGCATATTTTTTTTTTCTTAACAAAAATCTATATAAAATCTATATAAAATCTATATGAATTTCTGAAAATTTTTAATTTTCCCAAAGATTTCTAATTTTTTCGAGTATAATTTATACAGAAAAAAAATTATAAGCAGGAAATCAGAAATCTTTAGGAAATTTAAAAATATTCAGAAATTTATATCAGTTTTTTTTTACAATATATAGATTTTCGTTAAGAACATGCTCGTTTTTAAAATAGTAAAATGAATAAATTTTGTAAACAGCAAGTTACAAAACACCAAAATGCACAAATTTACGGTACTACTAAACATAAAATTAAAAAATATAACTGATATTATTCTTTAATATATATCAAATGATACCAAGAATGTACGGATCAAAAAAGAAATTGAACCATACAACATGCAAATTAAAGTACTTTATTATGAAAATTAGAATGTGTTGAGAATATGCTCGTAAAAAGTGTAAAGAAACTTAAAATTGAGCTTGCAAAAATGTAAATGTGTAAAAAATTTGCTCGCAAAAAATGAGAGTAAAAAAATGCTCGGAATGCTTATGTCAAGGAATCGAAAATATGCATGTTAAAATGAAATCATAATTATATTACAATGCAAAAATAAGTCTATACATATATACAGGTATTTACAAAATAATGTAAATAATTAGAATTACGAATTAAAAGGTGAGGTAAGCTTAAAAAATTAAATTTGTGATTAAAGACTCTATGTTGAATGCTTATACGAAAAAAAAGAAATTGAATGTCTTTATCTATGAAATAAGAAGGAGGGATGTAATATCTTGTTTAAGAAATAAAGGATGCATGTGAATATTTCGTCTATGAACATTGTGTGCGAAGATTTTGTTTATGCAATAAAAAGGATATAAATGAATATCCTGCCTATTGAATAAAAAAAGGTTGTTATAATTGTGATTAAAACAAATTGTATTCGCTATAAAATATCTAAAAAGAAAAAATTATTGAATAAATCAAAAATTCTTTAGTAAAAAAAAAAGGAAGCTTATATTCTATCGATTTTGTGGTCAAAAATATTATTTTAGGTAAATGATGAAAAGCGTTTAGGGTAAATTCTTAAATGTAAATTGCATAAATACTGAAATAAGTATAGTCGTATTAACATAATAATCTATTTAAACAAATGTTTAGCTTAGTTTCTATATTGTTTTTTTAAATTCGTAAATAAATGAAACTTGCTATTGAAAACCAGTTCAAAGCCAAAACGAATAGTAAACCTACAGAACAATACTGACTGTAGAGATAACAAATTATCACTATGCGTTAGCGATAATTTTTAATTCACGCTTGAAAATTTGCCATTTCTTGTTGATTTGCCATTGTTTTTTTTTTTTAAAAAAAAAAAAAAAAGTCATGTTCAAAAAAATAGGAATATCGTAAAACTACTTGTCGATAAATTTTAGTCTTCGAAATCATCGTTGGAGGTATAAAATACAGTTAAACATAGTGTGTTCTCCGCTATATTCCAGACAATTAATCAGTCATAAATCGATTAAAATTATCAAAATTGTCATTCCTCTGATGGAATCTGTTTCTTGGTGGAACTGATAATAGGTGTTGAACGGTTTGGGGATTTGTGGTAGAATTTATATATGTTTCATCATTCAGATCGGGAAATGACATTTCAGATGATCCCAAATCAAGCGGTGACATTATCATGGCTTGAGGATAAGTAAAGAAATTGTTAAGGGGTGATACTTCAAGCGATGGAACTATCATGACTTGAGTGAAATCGGTAAGAGGCGATGCATCACCTGACATAGGTTGAAGACTTGCAGGTAAAAGAGGTGATGGATCATCAAATAATGGCACTGACATTGCTTGAGGATCTGCAGGTAAAAGTGGTGACAACATTGGCATTGACATGAGTTGAAAATCCCCAGTTAAAGCAGGTGATTGATTAAATGTATTATTTGGTGTACTACAAACGATTGGGGAAAGATCGACTTCGCCATTCAATCCAATAATTTCCATGGGAGATACTGTTCTTAAATCTGCGAAATTCTGTGAAGTTATTTCTGGAATTTGCAAAACGGGCAAAGTTTGTTGCTGGTTTCCTGAATACATTGGAACCATGTTACTTGTGCTTGAATAGCTTAAAGTATTTGGATTTGAAACGTTCCCATGCAAGTCAAATTCAAGTTCATTGTTTATCCTTTGTTGATTTTCTCGAGTTGGTGAAGGAGTCCTAGGTGATCGAATTATTATTTGCTCGTTATTTATTGCTGGAGATAGCATTGATTCACTATTATTAATTCTTGAAGAATTTTCGTTCAAAGTTCGATTTTGCGAACTTTCTTGTGTTGAATTTGGTAACGTCAGATCATTGTTTAATGAATTCAATTGAATTAATTGTTCATTGTTCATTTGAAAGGTTTCAGTAGAATTTGCCCTAAATTGAATTTCTTCATTATTTGTTATTAAAGGATAGTTTGACCGAGTTTCTCGAACTAAGTCATCTAAATCTTGACTACCCCCTCTTATAGATCGCAAAAATGCTTCACCCAGATTTTGTAAATTTTTTTCCCTAGATTTTATACTTGATCCAGGTGCTTTTTTACCTTTGGGGCCCCTCTTTTTCTGAGGATCAGATATACATATGCGATTATGATTAATACATTGCCTGCATCGACCATCACGTAAATAATCGCATCTAACTTTGTTTATTCTACAATAGTTGCAAGACGAAGTATTTTTAGTTCTATTATTCCTGGGCATAGGTTGCTCATCGTTTGGATTCTTTTTAGAACCGTTGGAAGATGTATTTCGGGTCATTTTGGGCGATATAAATATTATAAATATTTAGACAATTATGAAATAATGTATATTAAACGTATTGATCCAAAATTACACAAAATAGTATTTAGTATATACACCCAGGAATATTTGCGGAGATATTTCGCTATGTTAAAACATTTTGAAAAATATTTAGTAAGACAAGAACATAAAAGAATTCTTACTATATAAGAAATCGTAAGTAAGGGCAAGTAGGGGGGTGTTTTATACTTTTTATTAATATCGGATAATTGGAAAATTTTTTGATTTGTTGAATATTAAAATGTAACCATCATGATATAATAAATGATAATTTCTTTTATCTAATTATTAATAGAATATTCGAGACACATATCTGTTCTTTCATACCTTCCTTTTTAAGTATTTTTTCCGAAAATGATATGCATTCTAGGCGTTTTACATTCAAGTTCTTGTAACGTGTGAAGTGATACAAACCAAAAAAAGAAAAGTAGTGTGTCGGAAATGTAAACTGCGCTTATCATACAAAAAAAAAAAAATCATATGTTAAAACTACCTTACGGCACCAATTAGACATGAAATTTATTCCTATACGCAAAACAGCTTCAATTTACCCCTAAAATTTAATTCTAAGTTTCCTTTTTAAATTATATCATTGCACATGTAGTAGATATTCCGCGGGCTGCTTGTGAATATGGATGAAGCCGTGGTAATACATGATACTCATTGCATACCGTGGAATATTTATATATTTCACGGTTCCCATGCCCGTATCATTTCTGATAAAATTTTTACTAATAACGGAATGCTCTCGGAATATTTAATGGCATTACGTAATTATAAAAATACATCATCAGAAATGTTCACGGGTGAACATTAGAGACAGTGGAATATATATTTTTAATTAGTACGCAAAAGCTGGTATCATTGAAAATTTCGAATAACATACAATTTTAAATAAAAAATTGTTCCGCAGTACTGGGCAGAATTAAGTTGGTCGTGAGCCAGAATTATTTTAATGCCGGCTGAATTAAATGGTTCGAGTCGACTTTTTTAAAAAAACCAACTCGAACCGAAAAAACCGGGTCGGGTCCAAGTGGTTGGCTAAAGCGGAGCTAGTTTTAGGGTTACCTTCTTGATGTGGTTGGTTAGTGGGTTATAAAGATATCAATAATGTAATTTATGCAGTATGTAGATCATATATTGCGCTTTAGCCGACCCCAAATAAGACGAAGTCGAAAAAACCTGGATCCGGCCCGGACCGAATATAAATTCAGCCGTTTCTTGTATTTTTACCTTTTGTATTGGCTATATGTCATGTGATAGCGCGTGCCCAAAAAGGGGTTCCGGGCTTCGGTAATTTTGACAGGGAGTAGGATCGATTTTACTGTCACGTAATACTTGGAAAACAAACGTTGTTGAGCTAAAAAACTTCTTTTATATTTGGATTAGGTTAATGTTAGGAAGAAAAATAATATACAGTATAATCTCGATATAACGAAGCTCTGGAGCTGGAGGTTTTCTTCGTTATATCAAATCTTTATTAGTAATTTCGTTATATCGGGGCTAATTTAAACACAAAAATTAGAAATAATCTTCGTTATCGTTATATCGAGGTTCGTTATATCGAGGTTATACTGTAATCTATTGTTTTTTAATAAACAAGATCAATGAATTTTTTATATACGATTGTAGAAATAAAAATATTTAGAATGACTTAGGATGAAAGATTTACCGAAATTATTTCAGCAATCAGAATATTTTTGGGTAATAAGCTTAGTACTACATGATTTTGTATGTGTATCGGAGATAGAGATTAATATACGCAGTACTACATTTCTATTATAACAATTAAATATATTAATTAATGTTTATTCATAATTCCAAAATTGCATTTATGAATGAGCATGTATCTGAATATAGAAACAACGACTTCTATAGATAATAATTTTATTCGTTTTATTAAGGGTCATAACACTACGCGCACTAATTACAAAATCAGATAATTTGAAATAATAACAAAAATATGGTGTCTATATAATTAGAACATTCGAAAATTTAATAGAATTGTGAAGCTGCCTAACTTTATTCTAAACCACTAATGACATTTAATGAAATACATTTTGAACCTCTTTTTGGTAATTTTTAAAAGACGATAAGGGGTTAAAATATACAAAGGTAAATAAATATTGTTTATTTAATTTATTATGATCTACATGTACAACGATTTAACAGTTTTTGTGCATTTTGTAATTTACACTTGTATATAGAATTTAAAACTTAAACAAGGACGAGTGTTATCTTATTATTAACTGACATTATATAAAAAATATCTTTTATACGAGCTCAATAATCACGTGATTTAATTTTGATAAAAATTATTTCACTTAAAATTACATATATAGACTTCTGATTGCAAATCACTTGCCGAGTATATTTTGAGAATGTAACGTTTCACTAATAAAAAAATAATAATAAATTACTACGCGTTAAATTTTGCCGCAAAATTATTACGAATCTTCGAATCTTGCTTAGAAAACAAATATTATTTATTTATTATTATTATACTAGCTATATGCAAATACTGAATGAAAAGCAATTAACTAGAAAAAATGATTGAAGTTAGTGCTCAAAATCTCACTAAGATAAATATTTTATACGTGTAAGCTATGATAAATATAACGGATCAATTCGAGTCATTCGGGTCAACCCGTTCGGTGCATTAATTGAGGCATTACATGAACTTCACGCATACCATTAACATGTTATTTTAATAATAAAAATCTATACTACTTTGAGCATTGATTTATAGTCGTTTTCAAAAAGTTGCGGAATTCTCAATATTATCTAGATTTCTAGAGTTTCAAGACCTATTTTAATTAGAATTTCTAAATTCATCGATTCCCCATATGTACATATATGGAAATCGTTTCAACATCTTTATGAAAACAGTTGCAATATTATTGCGGTTTGTAAAAAAGGGACACCATGATTTTTGTAGTGATGGACGAGGTAAATTTCTGAGATTCTAGATTTACTATTAATCACCTCCATAACGTATCTCTATAACATATCTTTATAACGTATTTACATGACAGCATGATCTGCAGGGGTCAACCTTTTTTGCAAAGCGCAATAAAAAGTTAAATTTATGTAATTATATGGAAAATTACTATTTCTGCCATGGTAATTTGCTACATCTATCATGCGACTAACTTCCTTACCCTAATTTTACAGCTCTTTCAAAAAGATGTGGAAAACGATTTCCATATACCCATATAGGGAATCGAAGAATTTAGAACTTTTGGTTAGTAAAATTACTGCTGTTTTCATATACCTATGTGGGAATTGAAAAATCAGAAAATTCTAATTAGTAAAAATTGAAGATCCGATTATAACTGTTTGCAAAAAAAGTGTGACCGCATGATTTCATGGTAATGATCAGGGACACGGAATTTATGCGATAAGAATTTGTAAATTATGCGTGCGGTATATATGGAATATACGATTTGCTGATGATTAAAAATTAAAAGTGCGATTTAATAATGTTTACTAAGCAATTTTATCTCGTAAAAAAAAACTTGCGATTTTTTAAATATTGCGCTCAACTAAGCAAAAACTTATCTGTTCTTAATTATTTATTGTTAAAAAACACTTCAATAAAAATTTGGTAAATATTGCGTTCAACTAGACAAAAATTTATCTGTTTCTGATTTATTTATTGTTAGAAAGCATTTCTTTTAATAAATATTTGTAACGTATCAGAGTAATTAATCTAAAAATAAAATTATTTATAGTTAACGATATTACCTTAATTGTTACTTTTAAATTAATTACACGTTGCTGCTTTTTTGAACTATTAAAAATAGCAAAATTCTCTTTCTAATTTTGAAGATGAATTTATTTATGGTGTTTTAGCATACTATATAAATTAATATACTAGAATATCATAGTTTATTATACATTTTAAGATATTACGATACTAAAAATTCAAAACGAGTGCACATGATACTAACGTAATATTAGTGATGTGATTTAGTGTGATTTTGTTTAATCACACTAAATCACATAATTTCCGTGTCCCTGGTAACGATAGTGGGAATTTCGGAGTTTCTAGATTGTCTATCAATCAGCAATATTATATTTATTAGGAAATCTATATAATTCCCTTAAAATCTAAAAATCACCTAATTTCTAGAGATGGCCAAATTATTACATAACTTTACTTAATATTACTTAAGTTTTTTTACGTAATTTTGCGATTATTCTATTTTTAGTAGCAATTTTTCGTTCAATCTCAATTTCACTCCCAACTGCTATCATGTATTTATATGTATACGTAATGAGTAATAGAATGTAATAATTACTCACTATTACTTAATATTAAATAGGGAATAAGTAATAGGTTATTATTTCTTACAAATTACTTTGCCCATCCATATTAATTTCCCATAATTTACATGACACGATGACCTTCAGAGGTCACACTTTATACAAACCGCAGTAGAGCTGGCTTTGAAAATTTAAAATTACGTACATTTCCCATGATATGGTGGTCTGTGCCTATCTACACCTTTTTGGGAACAGCTATAAAGATCCGATTAAAATGGATCTTGAACATCTGAAAATCCGGATTCCTCATGGAATGGTAATTTGCATCTTTTCACAGCTTTTTAAAAACGGCTGAAACTAATTCTGGCGATTTCCAAAATTCAGCAAATCATATGAACCAAATTTATGACCAAATGCAATCTAAACAATAAAATTTTCTGTAACTCAAAATTTCAGTTATGTAACCGGCTATTGCGCACTTATTAAAAATGTTCCTCATAAGATTTATTCTATAAACATTATGAATAACAGTGTTAACTTATGACCTGTTGTAACTTATAACGTTTATGTACATTACGACCATATTGGTCATATAAAGTTGGATATGGCCTAAAATGGACAATATTGTTAAATGCTCAAACATAATCCAAATATATCGTGCTTATATAAAGCAATTTGTTTCTAAATTT